ACAGTTCGTAGACCGGTTGACCGTTATGCACCTCTCGTTCAAACTTAATGGGGAGGAATTGTAGTAAACTAATCTTATTATGTAGTTAGTATTGATATTGTAATTATTATTAGTGTTAATCTTATTATTAATGGTTAGGTTATGTTATTATTAGTGATTATGTAATGTACCTAAATATAGAACCTTTTTAATGTTCTGCATACACGATACTTACTTTTTTAGTTGATTAGTTCTTAGTTACTTCTTTGTAAAGTATCTTGTTATCAAGAGCAAACGCGTGCTATTATTGTCACTAAGTCCCGAAGTTACCACACTAGTGAAACTAATCCTCGGGTGGCTTGTCATCATAAGTCTGAGACTGTTTACAATGCCACTGCCACCAGCCATTGTGTGTAGTTGACCATAGCCCGTTGAATGTTGAGTCTATAACTTGTAATCTGTCAGAATTAAGTGGGTTTAGATTGTAACTACATGGTTCTTCATTTATAAGCTATAGTCATGTTTCTTTCAATTTCTTTGAACAAGGAGGAATGCTGCTTGTCCATGTAGCCATCTTCCCTTCTTGTCATGTGCTAGGCTGATAGATACTGCACATGCGTATAACGTGACCCGCCAACTAGAAAAGATACATATTACCTATAACATGACTACTTGGTCTGTATCTGATTTACAGGTACCTCCCATTTGGGTGCAATCTGCCCTCCTGGTCGGTGCTTATAAATCAGATACAGCCCTCCTAGGAATGATATATCTATTACTCACGCCTGATGTATCGTATACATGTACCATCTTTAAAGTGTATTAAAGTACATGTACATAAATGTGTTTGTATGATAAACTGTTTCCCAGCTAGTCTGTACCATTTTACTGGACTGTTTTGTTATGGATGTGTATTGTGATAATTGTTCTTTATCTGCTTTGGGTTTTGCATGTGTTTTGCTATCATTGGTGGGTGGTTCAGCCGTATTATTATTGATGGTAGTTCTGTTAGTTTAGCCTGCTGATTTATATTATTTAGTCCATGTTTCTATCTGTGTTCAGTGTTGGCCTAAGTTATTTCATTTTTGAATGAATAATGATGCCTTTCCCATGTTTAACAACTCATTACATCACTTGACTTTTTTCCAATATGTTTTTTGCTCGAAATTGTACCTTACCTATGTTTGTTTGTACCCAATGAAGCTTTTGGGGCTATTTAATTGTTAATAGCATATGCATATATAATTGTCCCGATTCCTTCTGCATGTTCTGTAATAGGATAGCAAGAGCGACCTGGATCTGTCCGTTCACTGGTTTTAGTTCAATAGTTCTATCAATTCTTAGTAATAATAATTCAAAACTAGTGCACATGCATCCATACGTAATGAGAACAATAATTTAATAAATAATAAGCAATAATGATCACAGTAGACTCAATTTCTCACACTTTCCCTCCATTGACAAGAAGTGTTTTAAGACTTGTCAATCCTCAATGATGTCTACAATATACATAATGTCACTCAAATACAAATTATTAAGTAGCATACACATAGCACACAAATCAAATAATTAATGTACATGCATACATATTACACAAATCAATAAGTAATGTACACACATTAATAATATTCCCAATTAAACTATCTTATTAACCCACCCAATCAATTACTCACTACTTAAGTTTATTCAGTCATCAAGTGTTTGAGCTATGATACGATCACGAGCTTCAAATGCTGCTGCCTTTCTGGGTCTTGCAGTTTCCTTGTGACCTTGACTTTCTCGTGGCTGATCTTGTGAGCTCTCCTCTTCATGGTGGTTAATTTCCATTGGGTACAAATGTTGAACTGGACGGTTCAACAATGTTGATTTTCTCCCTCCAGTAACAACTCTAATTGTTGCTCCTCTAATCAATCCATCTCTTCCAGGTATGATAGACTCCAACTTATCCAAATTTCAGAATCCACGACGTTTCTCATCGCTCTTCACGACGACAATATCTCCAACATTTATTTCAACTCCAGCGTTGTTGCTGTTCCATGAGCTCAAGTAGGTACTCAGAACTCCGTCTTTTCCAGAAGTGTTCTATTCTGTTATTGAGGTACCTCAGTCGCTTGATCAGCATGTCTGGCCTTGCATTGAATTCTGGATCCTCATCATCATAATTGTAACATAACTTGTCTGGAAAGGTTATCAGTCGTCTACCATTGAATAAATGCGATGGAGTAAGTGGTTCCTCAATGTCATTGGGAGGTAAATATGACAAAGGTCTCGAATTGATTACAGCTTCTATCTCAACAATAGCAGTATGTGGCTCATCTAACGTCAACCGTGCTTGTCCCATAGACTTTCTCAAGCACCTCTTAACTGACTTTACCATCCACTCAAAGACTCCTCCCCACCAGGAAGCTCTTTCAATGTTGAACAGCCACTCGGTCCTGGGATCATAAACGTAATCAATCGCCTCAGGATGGTTCATGATCTTCTTGATCTTTTTAGCTGTAGCCTTAAATGTCTTTCCATTATCTGAAATGAACTTGTGTGGTGCTCCTCTCCTGGAGGTAAACCTCTTGAGTGACCTAATAAAAGAACTAGCAAACAAATTTACAACAAGATAGAGATGTATGCATTGTGTTACACAACAAGTGTACAAAGCAACCCAAACTTTACAAGTCCCATCCTTTGTGTAGATGGGACCCGCAAGTCCACCCCAGTGTATGTAAATGGTGGTGCTTGCTCAATTCGAAAGCAAGGCAGTGGAGGTGGATCTGGGGCCTTAGAAGGTCTTGCTTCAAATCTACGACAAGTAACACATCTGTAAATCATCTAGACTACTGACCTCTCTCGAACAATCCCTAATTTATATCTGAGCTCAGTGGCTGTCTGCTTGACCCCACTGTGGAAGACTCTCATGTGCTTTCCATATCACAAGCAAAGTAAAATAGTTTCCCGCAGGTAGCAAGATTGGATGCTTTGTTTCGGAACGCATTTGCGTTGTGAATTTTTCCCCTGCATCTCGAAAGTCTATTCTTGTCTAACAACAGTCCAAGTTGCACATTCCGGTCTGCAAACTTTCTCTCAGTCTGGAATCATGATTGTACTTCACGTAGCCACAAGACCTCTGCTTGTAGCATTACAGTGGATTCAGTCATTCGCTTTTTAGCCTTGCAATGAACGTTACGTGACACTCAACACTCTTCCCAAGAAGCAATACTTCTGTATGTTTATAACTTGAGATAATCAACTAGCTGCTACTATCATTCTAAGTGTTTTCTTCTCACAATCTCTCAGTTCTTGTATACATTCACTTGGCATATCCTCAAAACTTGCCTACTCATCATTCAGATCTGTAGGTAACCAGTGAGGTCCCTTGAACCAATCCTTGTTCTTCTCCAGCTCATCAGGTTTGAGACCCCTAGTAGGTAAGTCAGTAGGGTTGGCCTTGCCTGGGCAGAGCCTGCAACTTGGTGCTGGAATTAACAATTTCCTCAACGCGATGCTGCACAAATGGCCTCCAATCTTTATTTGGTCCTAGTATCCAGTAAAGTGCCACCTTAGAGTCCATGTAACAGATTGGTTTCTCTAGAGTTTTTTCAAGATTTTTGCTGATGCTGGCAATCAGTCTTGTGAGTAACAACTCTGATAATAGTTCCAACCTAATCAGTCTTGTGAGTAACAACTCTGATAATAGTTCCAACCTCGAAATTGTCTGCTGTGAAGTTAGAGCTACTCTTGTTTTCAATGACATCAGAATGCACATGGTACCTGTATCAGTCATAGTCGACAAATAGACTACCGCTGCATCAGCCTTCGCAAATGCATCACAAAAGCCGCATAATTGATACAACTTTATAGCACATTCCCCACAGATCCCTTAAAATATTATCTCTGTATTTCAATGGGATTGGATCTTCTCAATTTACTGACTAGTATTCTCCACCTCTCTAGCAAGTCTCCAGTCAGCTGTTGATCCCACCCTATCCTTGACTTATGAAGCTCCTGGAGAAAGATCTTCAGATGTATGGTAATAGGTGTAAGTATTCCTAGAGGATCATAAATTCGACCCACTGCTTGAACAGCATTCCCCTTTGTTGGTCCAGTCACATTCGCTAGTTCACCTACTTCCCTGATGTCAAAGACAAGGGCATCTTCTTCAACCATCCATCTAATTCCAAGTACCTTCAGCTCAGTCAAACGTTCTGGGGAATTACCCAGAGAAAATTTCGCGTACAATTTATCAATTACACCAGTATCAATAACACTTTCGCTTGCGATGTACTTACGCAAATTAAACCCTCCTTCACTCAAAATTCTTTTATAATCACAATACAATTTTCATACTCCCTCTTCTGTATCTGCCCCTCCAATAATATCATCAACACAAATGGACTCAAGTAATGATTTTACCACAAGTGGATCTGAGTCCCTGCAGTGCTCTACATGGTGTCTTACGGTTGCATTCAATAAGAATGGACTTGAATTGACCCCAAAGACCACTCTAGCGTATCTCAAAACTTGGGTAACGGTGGTTCTTCATCAGGATTCCTAATCCAGAGAAAGCGGAGCACATCTCTGTCCTTCCTCACCACTGAGACCATCAAAAAGGCTTTCTCTATATCTGCTGTGAAGGCAAGCCGATGGAATCAGAACCTTAGTAAAATACCCAAAATCATTTAGTTAAATCTCGGTCCAATGTGAAGGCAGTCATTGAGTGAGGGTCCATTGCTCCTAGCTGAAGCATGAAGAACCACTCTCACTTTTGTGGTTGTCTTATCCCTGCGCACTACAGCATTATGTGGAAGATAATGGAACTTCTCTCCATCCACTACACCGGGATCTTCTACAATTTCCACTATTACCCTTGCTATTACCCATGCCAACTGATCCTTAATTACAGTATTATAGTCTTTCAATAGATCAGGACTCTGTTTGAGTCGGTGAATAAGACTTTTAAGTCTCTTCTCAAGTTATCAGGTAAGTGAGACACTGAGTCTCTCCAGGGGAGACATACTTGGTAGTGTCCCTCATGAAACGATATGTTGCTTCTCAGTTGATCATAGACGAGGTCTTCCTTCTCAAGGATCCCTTCAGTAGCTTTTCCAAGCTCACGCTGTCCTTAGGCTCAGCACTTGTAATCAAGTTGTGTGTGATGAGAATAGATGAACACTGTCCATTCTCATCTCTCTCCAATGGGCCAGACAATACCCAACCTAATTTAGCGTGAGAGGCCGTTGGTCCTCTAATTTCCCTCATAATGTCACCTGATACAAATTCCCAATAACAATCAAATCCAATTAAAACATTAGGTTCCACCATTCCTTTGAGATTGGATACATCTGACGGTTCTAAACCTTGCAGGTGCTTGTAATTCTCCAAGCATAACTGTATTGAAGATCCACTCAGTGGTTCACAAATGCTAGGCACACTAAAGAGCATCACTTCCAACCTCTTTCATGATTTGTACACCCAACTTGACAAATATCACCTTTCTGGCTTCGTGTAACAGTGGCTCCAAATGTTATAATGGACATCATCTTTTTGGTCAGTAGTTCTAAGGTGTAACTTGTCCTTGGTCTGTTTGGTTATAAAGGACCGCTGGCTACCACTGTCCAAAAGAAACTGTAAACCAATTTGGATATGTGGCTTCTTGTGATTAAAGCAAGTGGCTTTTGCAGTTTGGAGTAATACTGTTTGATCCAAGTCCACAAGAAGGGACTTAGTTGACTTACTCTCAAAGGCAGGGGCTCGAGGGTTAAGACTCTGCTCACCTGCCTCTTGTTGGCTATCTCCTGTGCCTTCTTTATCTCCCTCCTTACTACAAATACTGAGGTGATGTCGACTTTTGCATTAACTGCACCGCACACTACTTCCACAATTTCTACTAATGTGGCCAGTCCTGAGGCAAATAAAGCATCTTCCTGCTTTCGTCTCCTACCATCATCTCGGGATACATTCTTGCATAGTTCAAGCAATTGATTAAGTTGACAATAACAACGTTGATTACCTGTCATGAATGCAGAAAATGAAGGAGAAACTTCTTTAGCTGGCTTGCTCATTGCTGAGGTTCCCTCTCTAGTCTTTAATACCTCTTCAAAAGTACTCAAGATTTTTGTCAAACCCCAATCTTTCTCAGACACTCCTCTGGAAATCATTAGCTTCATATAACTTGGCATCTGTACTGAAGGCAGCAGAGTGTCATAAGCTTCTTCGCTGACTCCTAGCGCCTTCAATTGTCTGACATGAGATTCCACCTCATCAAAGAGTCTTCGAAAGGACTGAGTGTTGTTCTGAGCTGGCTCCATGGTCAACAAGGCTTCCATATGCTTCCCCTTGATTTGCTGATGATCACTAAATCTCTTTGTCAGTATCTCCACTGCTTCTTTGCAGTTTGCAGAGGTTAGTGTCAAGCCTTCCCTTGCTGATTCTCTTAGCAGTGTTGTGAATTTATCAATGTCAGATAAGTCAGAGTTATCATGAAAACTGCTGCATGATAAGTATCCTAAAATGGTAACCACTGAGTCAGCTCACCATTAAACTGCATCAAATTAAGCTCAGGTAGATGCGCTCTGAATGGGCCAGACGCTTAAGTTCCACCCTCCTCTATTCCACCAGTAGTACTTTCGCTGGTAGCCAGTATATTGTCTAGTCTTACAAGAGCTTCATAGATCAGAGATGTTGTTTCATCTGCATTGATCATAGCAGTCTCCAACTCAGTCTCATCCTCTATAGCCACAAAAATTTGTTCATCTAAATCTCTAATGGTGTCTAGTTTATCCTTGAGAGATTGGCATAACTGCTCGGCCTTCACCAAGCCTGGTTCATCAGCTTCTATGATTCGCTTAACTTCTTCTAGTTTCCTGGTGATCACTGCCTTGTGTGCGCCTCTCTTTGCAGCTAACGCTTGAGCCATGGCTGTTGTGACACGTGTCAAATATTATTACTATAGCTCACAAAGATAAATCACCACTCTCAACTATAATTATAATGATAAAACAATAACTCCCGCTACTACTGGCTCTTCTGTGCACCTTTCTGCCTGGTAGCCTTGCTATAAAATGGCGCCCGTCTTTAAAGCTTCTCGTGGCTACTTCCTGTGAGAGCTCCATCTGCTGTAACTCGACTCGAATCTCCAGATCCTTAGGTCGCTTGAATCCTTTCCGGCTCGGTGGACCAATTGTCCCGATTCCTTCTGCTGGTTCTTTAATAGGATAGCAAGAGCGCCCTGGATCTGTCCATACACTGGTTTTAGTTCAATAGTTCAATCAATTCTTAATAATAATAACTCAAAACTGGTGCACACGCGTGCATACATAATGAGAACAATAATTTAATAAATAATAAGCAATAATGATCACAGTAGACTCAATTCCTCACAATAATAAAAGGTTATGTTGATAAACCTCAAGGTGAGGAAGACTTTTTGACTGATACTGCACCTATAGTTATCACACATTTCTCATGCAAATGATGTAAATAATTACAGCTTTACAGCTTTAGGGTACATGTATGTCATTCAGACTTTACAGGTTTAGGTAATTAGGTCAATTTTGCCAAGAAACAACGACGGAAAATTCTCCATTCATATAAATTATGTAAGACAGATTGTCTTATTTTGCTTAGAAACTTAAAGTGATTTCAATCAATTTTAGATTGTTCATATTTTAGCGTATTCCAACTAATTTTGATTGTAATGAATTTTTACAGTTGCTCAAAATATGGCTATAAAAAATTTTTAATTTAAATATTTTTTTCTGATACATGCTTTCATGCTGCATATTCAGTTCGACCTGATTTTGATCAAAATTAGATCTTTCCTAAAAAAGTTATGTAAAAAAATTATATATAAAAAAATATTCCTAAAACATGTCATACTTTACAAACTTACTTATTGTAATTACTAAGCCAAGTTATGT